TTTTTTTTTTTTTTTTTTTTTTGGTACCGGGGATTAAGCTCGAGTTCTTGCGCTTGCAAGGCAGGGCACTGAACCGCTGAGCTAAATCCCCGGCCCCTTGGCCTGACAATTTTAAATGGAAAAGTTCAGCAACAAAGCAAGTTTTACGTTGTACACGGTTTTCACCAGCATGATAAAGTCTCGTGCCCTCCTGCTCTCCCGGTCCGGAGCACAAACCATCCCTCTGCCCAGTGTGTCCACACTGTACCAGTGACCTGTCCCTCAGTCATGGAGGAGGCCTCTGGATAATCAGATCCGCTGTCATGATGTCACCGTGCTTGTGTTCGAGGAACACTTATTTTACTTTACAGCAACCCCAAAATGCAGGAGGCTTGAGGCTGGCAAATCTGTTACAATGTATTGTTATACTTTATTATTGTTGAAATCGCTTACTGTGATGAATACTGTATATAACTAAACTCTACCATAGCCCTGCGTATATAAGAAAAGAACAGTACACTCCGAGTTTAGCACTGTCTCCAAGTTTAGTGTTTTCAGGTCTCCCTGCAGATGAGGGGATCGTGGTACTCTCGGCTTTGCATCCACACTGAGATGTTTTACAAATCAGGGGCACCTTGAATGCATTAGGTCCTGTCTGACGATATGAAGGCCCAAAGAAAGTGTCCCTCACCTTGCATGACTAACACCTCCTGACAGTATCTGAGGCTGCACAAGAGGAAAATGACCAGGCAGCCTCATCCAAGTTCAATTTCTGTTCACTTGTGATCACAGCAGCGGTGCGTGCAAAACTCAGACGTGGCCGCAGCTGAGCTATATTCTAAACAGCCCCGCAAATGGCTAGCCCGCTACACTCTCCATTAGGCGGCTGGCGTGTGCAGCTGGAGTTCCTAAGATGAATGAGGAGACAGGAGAGAAAATGGAGTTGTTGGCTGGTCAGAGAAACTTACTAATAATACTGAGCTCATTCTCTCGCCTGCTTCTTGCTTCCAGAACTCAGGGTGGGGAATCCGAATAGCATGCTAATAAGTAGATTTGTTCCAGTGAGGCACAACCCTAACTGACATAATCCCTTCCACTCACTGTTTCAATCAATTTGCCACTTTAAAAAATTGTGAACATAAGCTAAGCAATTTGGCCAGCTTTTAATGGGATGACAGTGGAGAACACGTCTTAACGACGTGCATTTACATTCTACTCTCCACCCAGGGTAGAGGAGGCCAAGACAGGGTGGAACAGGGAATTCTGAATCAGGCACACACCTCCGAAGCTCCTCACCTGGACAACAGGGACCCATCTCAGTGATCTCAGAGAGAATGGAGCGCAGAGTATAACGCTGAATACAAAAGCAGCATCTGCAGAGAAGGGTAAAACTGGACGACAAGCTAACCTAAACCCTAAAATCCAAATGAATGTTGAACAATGGTATTTTTATCCCTGAGTTTCTCGATGTGTTTGGCTCTGAAAGTAATACCTCTTTGAGCTCAAATTTCACAAGATCCAAATTTATGTTTTATTTGACATCCACTCAATTCTGTAATATGCTGCTCCTTTTAAAGCCACACGAAGAGTTTTCCTGGC